CCTGCTGTCTAATTTTTCTCCTCCCATTCACACAAACCCACTCCAATCAGGCATTCAGGCTCCACCACTTCATCAAAGCAGCTTTCAATGAAGTCACCAATGGTTCCCCTGTTGCTAAATCTACTGGCCAATTTTTAATCCTCATCTTACAAGACCTCTTGGTAGCAGTTGACATTTCACTCCTTCCTTTTTGAAATCCTTTTCTTCACTTGCTGTCCAGGCTACTCCTTCTCAGTCTCCTTTGCTGATTCTTCCTCCTTTTTCCCTCAAATCTTTGTCATTCCCCAAGGCACAGTGTTTGGGCCTTTTCTTTATCTACATTCACTCCCTCAGTGATCTCATCCAGACTTATGATTTTATATACCACTTTAAGGAATTCCCTGCTGGTCCAGTGGTTAGGAATCCGGGCTTTCACTGCCAGGGGCCAGGGTTCGATCCTTGGTTGAGGAACTAAGATCCTGCAAGCTGCATGGCAGGGCCAATAAAATAAAATAAATAGGTAAATACCATTTTACAAGAGGCAAAACTAAACTGCAGTGATACAAATCAGAACAATGACTGCCTTTGGGGAGGAGACTAACCAGAAAGAGGCATGAGGGAACTTTTCTGGGGAAAAGAAATGCTGTATACTTGACTGGAATGCTAGTTACACAGGTGTATGTTTGACAAAAGTCATCAAACTGTACATTTAACACCTATACATTTCACTGTCTCTTCCCAACATAGCAGCCAATGAGTCTTTTAAAATACAAGTTATAGGGACTTCCCTGGTGATACAGTGGTTAAGACTCCACACTTCCACTGCAGGGGGCGTGGGTTCGACCCCTGGTCAGGAAACTAAGCTCCCACATGCTGCCGGGTGCAGCCAAAAATTTTTTAAAATTTTAAAAAAGAAAAAAAAAAGTTATAAACTTCAGAATAAGAAGAAAATTGATAAATCTGATGACATAAAAATAAAAACTTCCTGGGCTTCCCTGGTGGTGCAGTGGTTGAGAGTCCGCCTGCCAATGCAGGGGACATGGGTTCGTGCCCTGGTCCGGGAAGATCCCACATGCCGCGGAGTGGCTGGGCCCGTGAGCCATGGCCGCTGAGCCTGTGCGTCTGGAGCCTGTGCGTCCGGAGCCTGTGCTCCGCAGCGGAAGAGGCCGCAACAGTCAGAGGCCCGCGTACCGCAAAAAAAAATAAAAATAAAAACCTCCTAATATATAAAGATTCTCAAAGTAGAGAAGACACTGACCAACAACCCAATAGAAAAATGGACAAGAAATATATAATATCCACAGAAAAAGAAATTCAAATAGCTCAAGGGACTGGTTGGCTAAACTATGGTACAACCACATCGTGAAACCTATCTCTATGTATTGCTCCAGAGTAATTCTCAGGATGTGTTGCTAAATGAAAAATGGGTTGCATAAGATAGTGTGTATTATGCTATCTTTAATTTAAAAAGAGGGGGATATGAATGTAAATATGCTTATATATATTTGTAAGTGGACAGAAAAGCCAAAACCTTTTTTAAAATGACTATCTAAAAGAGTAGAAGACAAGGAATGAGGCTAGATTTCTCTGGTTTACCTTGTTTTATGTATTTAACTTTACAACCATGTAAATGTTTTGTGTAATTAATAAAGAAAAAGTGTAACCTCTAAAAATAAAAGCAAAATGAAAAATGAACTTAAGTGTAATATTTAGTTGGCAGTTTAACTACAAAGAGAGGAATTATTTTAAGTAACTTTATCATATAGCAATTTGACTGTACATTCCCTAATAGAACATATCAAAAAGACAAAAAAAAAAATCTTAAACTGTTTTCACTAATCATAATGTTAATAATAACATTGGTATTTCTATTCTGGAACCAAGATTTTCAGCATGAGAAAGGATACATAAACATAAAATCAAAAGTAAAAATTCCTAAATCTGAATTGGAATTATCAGCATTAACTCACAATGTATTCTCTTTAAAAATTTATTTTTTTCTGAGCTCTACTCCCTGAAAGGGCCTACAAGGAAAACAAAAATCAATCCAGTGAGCACCCCTAGAGCTCAGCTTTGGTCTCTTAATGCCATTTACCACTAAAAAGAATCAAGACTCCCTGGAAAAACAGCTGATTCCAGATTTGGGGAAGAAAATGTGCAAGATGAACCTGCAACATCTTGTTACACAAGAAAGCAAGGAAACTATGAAAGATTACTGGAATTGTGTCAAAAGAACTTAGCAGCAAATGTGAAGGGACTCACTATACAAAGGGACAATTTCAGCATAAAAAAATAATAACTGCGGGGAGTTGGGGATCCAAACCCACAGTCTCGGGCGCGACGTAGGGGAGGCCGCAGCCGCAGTTTTGCCCCCGTGTCCGGCGGAGGCGGCCACGGCGCCGACGGCCCAAGTATATAGAATTTAAGCATTCTCTCAGAAGTGTATGGTAGAGCTAAAGAAGACAGCCAACCAAGGGTCATCTGAAATTGTGACTGGCTAATAATCCCAGGACAAAGTTAGAGATCACTACTCAAGCATAAGGCCTCTACAAAGATGTTTGATATAAAGGCTTAAGCTGAGTATGTTGTGGAATGGGCTGCAAAGGACCCATATGGCTTCCTTACAACAGTTATTCTGGCCCTAACTCCATTGTTTCTAGCAAGTGCTGTACTGTCTTGGAAATTGGCCAAGATGATCGAGGTCAGGGAAAAGGAGCAAAAGAAGAAGCAAAAACGTCAAGAAAATATTGCAAAAGCTAAACGACTAAAAAAGGATTGAAGGACTGAACAGGCTCTGCAACCAGAGGAAAATCATCTGGAAAATTATGCAGCTTTGGAAGGACCCATTAAGGTTTCTTTTCAGATCTTGTGACAGTATTATTTAGTAAACGAAGTTTGAGCATGTGGAAGAATCATGTTAGCTCTC